TAGTTGCACATCCTTCTAGTTGCCGTATGTGGGACGCGGCCTCAGCATGGCCGGAGAAGTGGTGCGTTGGTGCGCGCCCGGGATCCGAACCGGGGCCGCCGGTAGTGGAGCACACGCACTTAACCGATAAGCCACCGGGCCGGCCCCATGTGGTACGAATGTTTAAGATGCACTCTCAGCAGCTTTCAAGTACACGATACCATATTAGTGACTGTAGGGCATTCATTTCTATTTTCAGTTTCAAGCCTTAGGCTGGTTCAGACTAACGTCTGTGAAACGATTTAATGGTGCTTTGGTCCAGTGAGTTAGCTGGCTTCTGGGAAGCGGAATCGCTGTCGTTTATTCATGCTGTCATGTGTGTGTCCTGGTTTGCTGTCATTCTCTACAGGTCGTGGACACATCGAAAGGGATAGCGGACGTCCCCGAGTGGTTCAAAGGCAGTCGTCTCAACTACGCAGAAAACCTTCTGCGGCACAGGGAGAACGACCGAGTCGCCCTTTATGTCGCAAGTGAGTCTGATAACTTGTCGGATTTTCCTCGGTCACTGTCCTAGATGCCACTTAGACGTGGGACCACGAGTTTGAACAGGCTCCGAAGCGTTCAGAAACTGCGCTCTATGATTTTCAAAGAATATCTTGGCACCTTTCTTCTTTTTTTTTTTCATTGTGGTAAAAAACACATAACATTAAATTTACCATCTTAACCATTTTTAAGTGTACAGTTCAGTAGTGTTAGGTTATTCACCTTGTTGTGCAGCAGATCTCTAGAACTTGCTCACCTTCCAACACCAAAATGCTGTGTCCACTAAACACTAATTTCCCCTTCTCCCCCCAGCCCTTGGTAACCGCCTTCTACTTTCTGCCTCTGGAATTGTGACTACTTTAGATACTGCATATGAGTGGATCATACAGTATTTGTCTTTTTGTGACTGGCCTGTTTCACTCAGCATAATGTCCTCAGGGTTCATCCATGTTGTAGCAGGTGACAGGATTTCTTCCTTCTTTAAGGCTACATAATATTACATTGTGTGGAGAGACCACATTTTGTTTATCCCTTCATCCGTCAGTGGACACTTGGGTTGCTTCCACCTCTTGGTTATTGTGAATAATGCTGCAAGGAACACAGGTGTGCAAATATCTCTTGGAGGTCCTGCTTTGAATTATTTCAGATATATACCCATTAGTGGGATTGCTAGATCATATGATACTTCTCTGTTTAATTTTTTGAGGACCCTCCATACTGTTCTGCAGTGGCTGCTCTTGGTGCCTTTCCACTGTAATTAAGATGTCTGTTGACTTGTTATTATCACTGGGAAGGGGAGGGGACAGTCGTGTGATCTTGTTTTATGGAGAAATTGAGACACCTGATATTAAGTAACTAGCCCGGAGTCACTGGGACAGTTAGTGATAGAACCACAGCTGGAATCTCCTCCCACGGGCTTCTCCTTTTAAAATAAAGTTTAAAGAGTTCCAATTTATGTACTAAGCAGCTTCCAGAAGAGTTGGTATAAAATGTTTTAAATACACTAGGAGTTTTCTTAGTAAGGAGATACTTGGGCTAGCCCCCTAATTAAATTAGGTTTTTGTAAAAGTAGCATTGAATTTATCTGGTGTTGGCAGGGTTTGAGGTATTCATATAAGTAAATTTTCCAGGTGACTGCTTTTCCCTGTGAGTATGAAGCTTTATTTGCCCATTTTAGACACAACTGTGGGGAAATAGGCTTAAATAGAGGAACCTTTTGTCTTCATGACTCAAGGTGTCCAGTGTTTGGACGCTGCCAGAATCAAATGCTCTCAGGAGCTAGTGAGGTATGTGGGATCGTTTGCCGCATCCTTTAGAAAAGGACCCAGGTTGCTGTGCTCTCTGCTGTCCTCTGCCTGGGTTTTGTCATGTTCCTGTCCCCTCCCTGGCTGCCTGCTCTCTCCTGGCAGGTGCCACCATCCTCGCCTCTAGCAACCCTGGTCTTCACCACAGTCGCTATTTTTAGTAGAAGTGGTGTGGGAAGTGAGATACTCATGCTTGTCCAAGTGGTGCCTGAACTAGGAGTAAATGGGGTCAGAGAGGATTTGAGAGTTTGAGTCCCAGTTCCACCCTCAGTAGCTGTGTGACCTTGGGCAAGTCACTTAACCTCTCTGGGTCTGTTTCTGCCTCTGTAAAGTGGAGAGGAGGATAATACCTACTTCAGGATTATTGTAGGGATTAAAGGAATGAATCTCTCTCTGTGTCTCTGTCTCTCTGTCTCTCTCACAGCTGTCCTCGGCGCAGAGGACATGTACTTAGTTCTCAGTCGAGGTTATACCTCGGAAATCCCTGTGCAGCTTTTAAAATCCTGGCTGTTCTGTTCCCAGTGTGAGAGCACATCTTCCAGGGGTGGGACCTAGGCTTGTGTATGTTTTTGAAGTGCAGAATTGCTTCTGATGCGCCTCCTGGTTGAGAAGAACAGAGCCCCATCTTTATGGAGGGTGTGGCTGCTCAGTGTTGTTTTGCCCCCTTACTGGCTCCTAGCCCCGATGCAGTGTAGGCTGGGTGGACAGGTCGCGTCGGGAGGTGGCAGCGGTGCTGCGTCTCTCCTTGCCCTTTGAGGAGGTGTTTGCGCATCCACCCATCCATCCCTTCTTCCACTTGCTGCTCAGATCTGTCTCCAACGCCTCCCTGTGGTGGAGGTGCTGGGAACACAGCCTTGAACAGGACGGATGAGGTCCCTGCTCTCATGGGGCTGACCTAGCCGGGGAGACAATAAATAAGAAAACACATATAATAAGATTCCGGGTGGCTCCAAACGCTTGGAAGAGCAGCTAAAGCACCGTGATGCGAAGGAGATGATCGGGTGGGCTGCCGAGCTCTTTTAGACGGGGCTGCCGGGGAAGGCCTGTTTGGAGGAGGTGAGATTTAAGCAGAACTTGGGTAAGAAGGGGGAGTCATGCAGAGGTGGGGGAGAACACTGCAGGCAGAGGAAGCAGCAAGAGGGAAGGCCCTGAGCAGGAGCGAGCGCTGGGTGTGTGGGGACGTGAGAGAGGCCCTGTGGCCGGGAGAAGGGCAGGAGGTGGGGTCAGGGAGGCCTGCGGGGGCCAGGGCATGGAGGGCCTCGAGGGCCATGCCAGGAGTTCCGGGCTGTGTGGGAGGCAATGGGCCGCCCTCAGAGGATTTTGAGCAAAAAGGAGCCCTGTGATCCCATGGTGACCCCGGCTGCTGGGTGGAGAATGGAATAGATCGCATCCTGGGAAAGCAGAGTGTCTAATGTAGGAGTTTGCTCAGCACTCCATCTCTGGGTCCAGAGACTGTTTCTCTGACCTGTGGCAGGGATGGCTCTGATATAAAATTCTGGGGCTTGTGGAGGTGTCCTCAAGCTGTACCATGCTTTAGCAGAACCGTTAGATTGAGTCCTGGATTTATAAAAATAGATGAATGAGGGTTTCTTTAAATTCTTTAGGTATAATAAGACTTGGCTTACACCAGTATTTCAATAATGTGCCAGTTGTGTAAAGTGACGTGTGCCCACAAGGTGGGACAGTGTAGGGGACTTGCAGGAGGTCGAGGTGGTGCAGTCTCTGGGAGGGGGAGAGCCGAAGGGGTTAGGAGATCTGTCTGTCTTCAATTGGGATATAATTCATGTAACGTAAAATCCACCCTTTTAAAGTGTACAATTCAGTGATTTCTAGCATATTCACAAGGTTGTGCAACGACCGTTTCTATCTAGTTCCAGAACATCTCTGTCACCCCAAAAGGAAACCCCATACCCTTTAGCAGCCACTCCCCATTCCTCCCCTAGCCCCTGGCAACCAGCAGTCTGCTTTCCTTCTCTATGGATTTGCCTGTTCTGGACGTTTCGTAGAAATGGAATCGTACAATATGTGGCCTTTTGTGTCTGGCTTCTCTCACTCAGCATCATGTTTTCCAGGTTCATCCATGGTGTAGCAGGTGTCAGTGCTTCATTCCTTTGTATGTCTGAGTAATACTGCACTGTGTGGATGGAACACATTTTGTTTCTCCATAACAGACTCTTAAAGGGCTGTCCTGCCCCCAGCACGGCCATGCCCTTGTAAACCTCCCTGGGCAGCGGCCTTCTTGGCATCTTCTGTCCTCCTGAAGGACTGGAATGCTGGCTCTCCTGTCTCTTTCCTTTTCCTGATCCTTTAGATGTGTGTGCGCGCTTTTACCGAGTCTGAGGCGCTGCGAGAGGTCCTGGTTTCTCCTACAGGAAACTGAGAAAGGTCAGATGAGAATCTTCTTTAAAAAACAAAACAAACCAAACTTAAAAACCAGTAATATTTCTGATTGCTTGTGGTGAAACCACTGGTCAAAGTGGCCACGAAAACCCTGTGAATAGCGGGGGAGCGTTGTCTGATACGGTGCCTGACGGGGAGAGGATGGCGCAGAAAGACTGGGGAGGGTTCTGCTCTGCACCAGGAGTCAGAATCGACTCTGCAGTGCTAACAACAAGGTTGGTAAAACCAGCCAGTCTTCCGGGTGGCTGGGTTTGGACTGAATTGGCTACGCACCTTCTCTCTCTCTTATAGGTGTGTATTGGCTAAACCTGGCCCCTTTTGCCTTAAGCCCAGCTCTGTCTCGAGCGTGGGTTGGGGGGTATGGTTATACTGCCGGGTCTGCTGTGTCCATTTCATCTTCTCTCTCCTGTCCTCTCTCCTCCCCACCCCCGCCATCCCCTCCGTTTTAAATATTGGAGCCCCTTGTTTTAATGAGCTCTCCCCTTGTATTTGCAGTGGGAATAGTGCCCTCAAGCCAAGGATCGAATTTAGTTTACAAACTGGATGTCTTTCTTAAGCCGCTTCCTAAATTGGCTCATTATTGGCTTGGGGACTCTAAAATAATTGTGTTCCATTTTCTGTGTGCTTTTCTGGTTTGTTCCTTCCTCCCCAGCTGTGTACAGGTGCTCATGGGGCTCTGCTTCGTGCTCACTCAGGCCTTCTCAGCCGAGCTCGTCCTTTCTACATTTAATTCCGGATTAGGTCACAAGGTGCCCACTAAAAAGAGAGTATGTGCATGTCGCCTTCATGCTCCAGTGAGTGAGGCAAAAACACTGGGCATTAGCGTCATCAGTGTTTAAGTTGTTAGAACAACCACCTGTATAGCACATTGGTCTTTGAACAGTGAGTTTCAGGTTACTGAGTATTTTTATAGGATGGAAAGTTATCTGGGTGGGAATATGGGAGAGGTAATGAAAAGGCTGCCCACCCAGGGAGGTGAGAAAAGAACCCTGGGTGGGCACATCTTCCTTTAAGTAAGTAGGAAGAGCCAGATTTATACCAGAGGGAAATCAGGGTGTTTATTCACTTTGGAAAACAGATACTTCATATTGTAGAGTTGAAAAACAGTTAGCAATCAGGAATAAAATATTTGTATCAAAGGTAGTGGTCAGAGGATTAATATCTTTCCTCTAGGGAGTACATTCAAACACTTTCTACACCTTCGCAGCATGGAGTCTTAGTTTTCTATTGCGTAACAGGTTGCAGAACCGTGGTTTAAAGCAGTAAACGCTTACAGTCTCATGGTTTCTGTGGGTGGCACGTTCAGAAGCAGCTTAGCTGGGTGGATCTGGCTTGGGGTCTCTCCTGAAGCTGCAGTGAGGACGTTGGCAGGGGCTGCATCCTCTGAAGGCTTGACGGAGGCTGGCGGATCCACGTCTGACACGGCGCACTCCCACGGCTGTTGGCAGGAGGCCTCAGTTTCTCACTGCACAGGCCTCTCCCTGGGTGCTTGAGCGTCCTCAAAACATGGCCCTGGTTCCCCCAGAGCGAGCCAGGTGGAAGCTGCAGTGTCTTTTGTGACCGAGACTCAGAGGTCACTGTCAGTTCTACGATAGCCTGTTGGTTTCCCAAGTCAGGCCCCTTCGTTGTGGGAGGACCCACGTGAGAACGTGAATACCAGGGCCAGGGGTCATTGGGGGCGTCATGGAGGCTGGCTAACCACACCGTCTTTTCCATTCTTACCAGTCCATTTAGGTGAAAGTCAGTTTTAACGTACATTTCTTTGATAGTTGGTGAGGTTGATCATTTTATTTTCTTACTCATATGTGTTTTTTTGCAATATCAAGGTTTTCTACAGTGAGCTTGCGTTGCCTTTATAATCTGGGGAAAAAAAGCATTATAAAACCGAGCCAAAGGTGGACTACTACTCAGCAATAAAAAGGAGTGAATTACTGATGTTGTGTGCACCGACTTGGATGACTCTTAGGGGCGTTGCATTGAGTGGAAAAAGCCAATCTCAAGGGCTATCTGCTATGTAATTCCATTTATGTAACGTTCTTGAAGTGAGATTATAGAGATGGAGAACAGATTAGTGATGCCGGGGATAGGGGTGATGGCGGCAGAGTGACTATAGAAGGTAGCAGGAGGGAGATGGTGGTGATGGAAATACCTGGATCCTGACCATGGTGGTGGTTACGGGAAATGCTGTGACATGACGGAGAACCACGCACACACATTGTGTCTGTGGCAGTCTCCTGGCTGTGACTTTGTACTGGAGTTATGCAAGATGGAACCAGTGGGGGAAACTGGGCGAAGGGTACGCGGGACTATCTTTGCAACTTCCTGGGAATCTATAATTATTTCAAAATGAAGTTAAAAAAATACCACAACCCCAATCAAAGGATTTTTTACTTAATAAAGGCATTCCTGATAGTAAAACAATCTTTAAATGGCAAATTCTGTGAGGGCATTTCAGAGGCTCACTTGCACACGGCCTTTCTTTTCCATGAAGTTGAGTCAACTTGTGTCTTGGTTTGCACTCTCTGCGTCTGTGTCATGTCTCCCGGGCACGTATTTCTAACCTGCATTTAAACAGGTGCGAGCTTTCGTCTGTGTCTGTGACTCGGAACCTTTCATTTTAGGATAAACCACGTACGGTCTGTCCTTTTTCTCTTCCCAGGGGAAGGCAGAGAGGAAATTGCGAAGGTGACTTTCGAAGAGTTGCGGCAACAAGTGGCTTTGTTTGCAGCCGCGATGAGGAAAATGGGTGTGAAGAAAGGAGACCGGGTCGTCGGTGAGTATTTTTGGTGCTTGTCATGGTTTGGGGAGGAGACTCGGAAGGTTGGGACGACTTTTGAGTAAGTGGAGTTGTGTCGTGTTACTCAGAGCCTCGTAGGACTTCAGCTGTACGTGCGGGCCGAGAAAGAGACGAGGCCAGTGCGGCCTGGTCCCCGGTCCCCCTGCCCCAGGGGCCTGTGAGCACTTCCTCCTGCCTAGTGGGAGCCCAGTGTTTACAGACATGTGGTTTTTTTTATCACACATGATCCTTAAACGCAAGCCAGAGAGTTCATCAGGTGCTTGATTCACCAGACAGCCACCCCTTCCAACCAGGGAGAAACTGGCTGCTGCGTTTTCTGGGAGGTGATCCATCTGCCTTCAGCGTGACACTTTCCTGAGGAATTTCCAAGGGTAATTTCACCCTCGGATTTTCGCCATTTGTGCTGACGTGGTTGTAGACTGATTCCCAGTCCCCAAAACCCGGCAGTGGGAGTGTCGTTAGTGGAGACACTCCTTTGGCTGATGTCCTCTTGTGCGCAGACCCCGGGGTTAGAGCCGTGAGGAGCATCAAAGGCCGCCAGCCCCTCCCCCGAATTTCCCACATGGGAAACCGAGGCCCAGAGGAGAGAAGTAAACTAACCAGTTAATTTTTTTCATTTGAAAAGGATTTCATTTAAAATGGGTGTTGAGGGCCGGCCCCGTGGCTTAGCGGTTAGGTGCGCGCGCTCCGCTGCTGGCGGCCCGGGTTCAGATCCCAGACGCGCCGCTTCTCCGGCCATGCTGAGGCTGCGTCCCACATACAGCAACTAGAAGGATGTGCAACTATGACATACAACTATCTACTGGGGCTTTGGGGGAAAATAAATAAATAAAATTATTAAAATGGGTGTTGAGTTAAATAATGTGGACAATTTCAATATGAAAATTGTTAACTGAAAATTCACACGTGGAAATACTCAGCCTCTGAAAATAATAAATAAAAAATGTTACTTCATAGCAAGGCATGAAATTTCATAGCCAGAACACTTCATCACAAATTTGTTAAACAAATGGGTTATAATTATTCAGTGCCAGGACATAGCTGATGGCATTTTGAAAGCCATTGGCCACTGGCCCGGATTTCCTGGCGTGGCTGGTCGCTTCTCTGCCACGTTGCCTCTCGGGGTCACCACCTGGACCCTCTTACGAGCAGTATCTCCCGCTCAGTCCTTCCCGACATGAGTTTGTTTCTTGGCGTCTGAGGGCGCCAGGCTCCCTGGAGTCGTGAGAGCTCATTTCAGTGCCTGGGCCGCTGACTGGCTGTGCGTTCAGACAAGGAGCATCATCTCCCTGGGCCTTGAGTCTCTTCATCTTTAAAAGGGGTGGCTGAGAGCTGGACGGGCTGGCCACTCCGTCTTCTGAACACTAGTGTTAGGCATCACTCTCCCTTCTTGTCTCCCCCAGCTCCTGGCCCCACTGTAGGTTTGTCTGTTCTGGACGTTTCCTAAAAATGGAATCATACAATGAATGTGTGGCCTTTTCTGTCGGCTTCTTTCTTAATGTTTTAAAGTTTGTTCGGTTGTTAGGTGTCAGTACGTCACTTCTTATGGCCCAGTGACACTCCATCGCGTGGATAGACCACGTTGGATTGTCCATTGTCAGTGGGTGGGCACTGGGTTGAGCTGCGTGTGGACGTGCTGAGTTGTGCTGCTGTGAGTGCCCTAGGGGCAGCTGAGAGGTCAGGGCTGGGCCTGGAGATGGGAGGCTCTCTTGGGCTCGTCTGGGGATGGTGGAAGCAGTGGTTGGGGCGTGTTTGTGAGGCCTTGTTCCCCCTGGCCACGGGGTCCCAGGGCTGCCCTCAGGGCTGTGGTCCTGTGGGGAGGCGGTCAGCTGAGCAGCCCTCTTCACCCCTGTGATGTGGGGTCCGCCCCAGAACTCAAGCCCACAGGAGGGACACCAGATCCTCGGACGGTTTCCAGGCTGGGGCTGGGAAACTGGTCTCCTAATTGGTGTCCCTTCTTCCCCGTCCCCAGCTGGGAGCCAGTGGTCCACGTGGTTCCTGCTAAGAACCCTGTCCTTAGCCCACTCAGAGCTCCCCTCGTGGGCCTGTCCCCTCCTCCCTGTGGTCCCGCCCCCCGGCCCCCCCTCACTCCCATCCTCCTCCCTGGGCTTTCTTTCTTTTTTTTTTTTGTGAGAAGGACTAGCCCTGAGCTAACGTCCGATGCCAGTCTTCCCCTTTTTTCTTGAGGAAGACTGGCCCTGGGCTAACATCCGTGCTCATCCTCCTCCACTTTATATGGGACGCCGCCACAGCATGGCTTAGTAAGCGGTGTGTCCGTTCACGCCCGGGATCCGAACCCGTGAACCCCGGGCCGAGAGTGCGTGCACTTAACCGCTGCGCCCCCGGGCCGGCCCTGGGTTTTCTTTGTAACCTGTTTCATCGCCTGACCTGGTCTTATTTTCTCATTCTTTTTTTCAAAATTATTTTGTTGAGTCACATTGGTTTATAACATGGCATAAATTTCAGGTGTACATTATCATGTATCAATTTCTGTGTAGACTGCATCGCATTCACCACCAATAGTCTAGTTTTTATCTGTCACCATACATGTGTGCCCCTTTACCCTTCTGTCCTTCCCCCACCCCCTTCTCTTCTGCTAATCACCAGTCTGTTCTCCTTATCTGTGTGTTTGTGTATCTTCCACATATGGGTGAAATCATATGGTGGTTGTCTTTCTCTGTCTGACTTATTTCCACTCAGCATAATACCCTCAGAGTCCATCCATGTTGTCGCAATGGCTGGATTTCATTGTTTCTTATGGCTGAGTAGTATTCCACTGTGTATATATACCACGCCTCCTCTATCCATTCGTTCCTTGATGGGCACCTAGGTTGCTTCCAAGTTTTGGCTATTATGAATAATGCTGCAGTGAACACAGGGGTGCACGTATCTTTACGCATTTGTATTTTCACGTTCTTTGATAAACACCCAGCAGTGGAATAGCTGGATCATATGGTAGTTCTATTGTTAATTTTTTGAGAAATCTCCATACTGTTTTCCACAGTGGTTGCACCAGTTTACATACCCATCAGCAGTGTATGCGAGTTCCCTTTTCTCCACATCCTTTTGTTTGCCTTTCTCTGACTACTACAGTGTGAGCTCTGTGAAAGCAGGAGAGGGAAGGGCAGTTCAGGCAGCAGAAACAACCTGTGCAAAGGCCCAGAGGCTGGTGAGAGCAGGGCATCTGCAGGGGGAACAGGACCTCCATGGGGCCCCGTGGGGCCGGGGCTGCGTGTGGAGTACAGAGGGTGAGGCTGTTTGGGGACCGTTGTTCCGGAAGGAGCCAGTGTGTGTTGGAGCCTTCTGACGCTGAACGAGGTGAATGCGAGGCCCAGCTCCTCCCCCTCCCTGAGCCCGGCCCTTCCTTTGGGGTGTCAGGTAGCGAGTCATGATTTCCTACCAAGAGCAACTCAGGTGCTTTTTTCATGATTTGTTTTTTCCTTCACTCTGGGAAGGGTTAAAGGGCTAAAGACCCGTATATGGACCTACTCTCTGCCCGGAGGCACTGTAGTTAATGTGGATGTGGGTGGATGTGTACGCAGGCGTGAGCAGGGGGAGATGAGATGGCGTGTCTTCCGTGCAGGCCTGGTGGTCAGGGCGCTGGAGCGGCCTCCCCGCCCCTGTGGTAACGGGAGCCGGGCCCCAGGACAGGCCTTGGGACCTCGGTGGTGGGCGTGGGCGCGCCTCCCCCCGGGGCGGGGGAGCGAGTGAGTGTCAGCTTGTTTGCACATAGGGCCGCGCAGGGCCGGGGAGCTGGCGGCCTCACTGTCTATAGACCAGGTCACCGGGCCCCCGTGTCTCCTTGGCAGATGAGGGAGCTGGGCGCGGAGTTGCCGCTCGCCGTGTGTTAGCTGACCGGAAAGGAAGCCGGTAGGAAGGGCCGTGCACCAAGTTTCCTCCCGTCTCAGTGCTCGATGGAAGGTTCTCCTGCGTCTCCCCGGGTTCACCCTGGGTCATCAAGGGCTCTGCTCAGAGGCCATCCCTGCCCGTCCTATGGAAAAACCCATCACCTCTCTCCCTGCCCCCTGCTTTATTTTCCATTGTCGTCCTTATCTCCCTCCTGAAGTCACAGGATTATTTGTGTGTGTGAGTGTGCACGTCTGTCTATCTGTCCGCTAGTACTAGAGGACAGGGCATCGGTCTCTGCTCCCCACACATCTCAGTCTGCGGGGCCCCTGGCTCGTAGGTGTGTTGGGAATGTGTATGGGATGAGTGGAGGAGAGTGCCGGGCCGGTGATCAGAGCAGGCCTTTTTGTAGTTGAAACCTCACTTTTCTTGGATTCTACTTGGTCCAATTTAATCTGTAACCTTTTGAGGTCTAGAAAAGGAATTCAGAAGATTCTTCTACCCTCCAATTTTCTTCTTCCCTCAGTTTTTTAGAATCTCCTTTGGAAGCACACGTGTCTGAGAGGAGGGGAAATGGAGGACGGGGTGTCGGGGCTGATGGTCGGGACCCTCTCGGCTGTGCTTTCTCGGGGACACCTGGCCTTGGTGCCCTCGGCTCTTCACCATCAGCCTGGTGCTTGGTGACCTGCCCTCTCTAGCGTCTCAGTTTGACCGTAGTCACTGGGCCTGTGTGTTTCCCAGAGGGAGTGCTCGGGGGTGACTCCAGAGGAGGGTCCATGGGGTATGCTTGAAGGGAGCTGTTCACGGCTCGGGTGTCTGTGAAGTGGTCCCCGAGGCCAGCATCTCTTGGCTGCTCGTCACTCCCACCCTGCCCTGGGGCAGTGACGCTGCTGAGACACTTCACAGTCTTATCTCTGCAGCAAACTCAGCAGACGGGCCTGCCACCTGCCAGGTGCTCGGTGGAGCCCCGGGGGCTGAGTGAGCCATGCAGACCCCTGCCGCTCGGGACGCTTGTGGCCCAGCAGGAGAGACACAGTGAACCCAAAGAAGTGGAAGTACCAACTGCTGTGGTCAGGTTGGCAGTGCAGAGCTGTGGGAGGGGCACGGAGAGAGCTGTCAGGGCGCCCTGGGTGCGGGGGGGGGGGGGCCGGAGGGCTTTTGTGGCCACCTGGGGAGCCGTGCTCAGGGGAGGCATTTGGCCCTCCGCTTCTGCGCCCTGCTGCCTTGTGCACAAATGCTTTCCTCTGGAACATTTAGGACCATCTGTTTAGTTGATCATAGTCTCTCTGGCCATAAAGATTCTCTGCCGCTATTGTCATAAAAGGCCAGCCTCCGACTAGATGCAGGGCCTGAGCCCCTCCCCGCTCCCTTGCAGGCTTGTATGTCTCTTGACCCCCCTGCTCATCGTCTTCATTCCCCCTCCTGCCTTTCCCTCCCTCCCTCTTTCGGTCCATCCATCTGTCCATCCATCCATCTTGCCAGCCAGCAGGCCTGTATCTGAGGGCAGTGATATGCAGGGCATGTGAAAGGCATTTGGTAAATCAGGAATAAGACAGGCAGAGTCCCTGCCCTCACATGAGCACCAGATATTAAATAGCCAGTTACACAGGTGATGATTCACTCGCAGCTATGGCAAGTTTGGTGAAGGAGAAAGTTTGGTGCTTTGTGGGGGACTGGCCGGGGACCTGGGTTCATCAGGTGGCCTTGGAGAAGGCTTCTCTAAGAAAGTTGCACTTGTGTTAAGAGCTGAAGGGTGAGTCTGCACTGAATAGAGAAGACTGATGTGTGGAAAAGTGTTCAGGCAGAGCAGACAGCTTGTGCAAAGGCCCTGGGGCAGGAGTAGATTAGAACAACTGAAGAACTGAAAGAAAACTGCTGTGGCCGAGCCTAGAGGGAGGCAGAGCAGAGGGAGAAGGGGTCGGGGCGGGATCATGCTGGGCTGCGGGATCACTGATTAGAGCGTGGAGATTGGGTTGGAGCAGTTGACCATGGGAAGTAGATGGGCTGGCAGTAGGCGATGGGCCGTCCAAAGAGAGATGTCGAGGCAGCTGGGGTGTGGTGGGGAGGGAAGGGGTGGGGTTGCCGGGCTTCTTGGGCACCTCACAGCCAGCTCTCTCCCGCCACTCCTGCCTGGGCTCTCGGTGGTTGCTTTTGGAAGTCCACTGCATCCTGTGGGCCCTGGACCCAAGGCTTTCCCCCGTGCCCCTCTTACAGGTTACCTGCCCAACAGCGCGCATGCCGTGGAGGCCATGCTGGCTGCGGCGAGCATCGGCGCCATCTGGAGCTCCACGTCCCCGGACTTCGGTGTGAACGTGAGTCGGGGTCCCTGCTGGAGGGGGCGCCTCTGCGCCCCGAGACTGCCGTGGAGGTGTGGCCGCTGCGGGGGAAACATTCCCGTGTGACTTCCGCAGGGAGGGGCTCTGCCCAGCTGACGTCTTGGGGAGGCGGCTTGCGGGGTGGAATTCCCAGGGGAGCTGTGCACCAGGGCCGGCAAGGCTGGAAGGAAGTGATGTCATGATGAGCCCCCCCCCGCCCGGTCTCCCCAGCCGATGACACGAGAATAACGGGGAAGAAGGAGCTGAACCTTGTTTTTAAATCTAAAAGCAGACGATTCTTCCCTCCTTTCTGGTCTTCCTACTGTCCCATCAGTGTGCATTGCCACGTTAGCGTGTCATACGTGACAGGCAGTGTCGTGGACCTAGCTGCAGATGCCCGGCCCCCACTCCCCACCAGGGACCTTCCTGGTCGCAGAGCCTTGGGGGTGAGGGTGCCTCAGGAGCCACAAGGACAGACCCCTGTTAGAGGACATGGCGAGTGTCCTCGTCCCTGACTGCTCTCGCAGGCGCCAGGCCGCTTCTGCTCTCAGCATGGCCCCTGCTCTGGGCACCGGTCACTGCAGCCCAGTGGCTAGAGGTGGCCTGACTTTGCTGGCCGTGAGCCGCTGGAGGAGTTATTTATCCTCGTGTGCAGGAGGGGCAGCGGGAAGAGAGAGGCTCGTGAAGGCGTGTAGAGGCAGGCGCCTCCTGCCGGGCTCCAGTCGCACTCTGCCACTCCCTGGCTCCGTGTCCTCGGTGCCCAGTGGAGGGAGCTTGTGGGGACCACGGGGTTAATACTCGTGCAGGGTTGGGGACAGCGCTGACCCACCCACCCAGCCACCCGCCCACGGAGGTCAGTCATGTTTTAGCTGCTGTCATGAGTTGGGAGGTGGGTGCTTTTTGAGTTAAATTGGAACTTGTAGCTTTTTGTAAGCCGGTCGTGAGGATGTTGGGAGAGCTGTGTGCGGCGTGGGGAGTGGGCGTGGGCTCCCGGGGCTGGAACGCAGCCCTCGCCTGACGACTCAGCAGAGGGCCGAGCTCCCAGGTTGGAGTTGGGTGGTGTGTCTGAGCCGCTGGGTGCGGCGTTGGGGGATTAGGGGAAGGCCAGTGTCCCGCCGCCTCCTGCTCGGCTGTAGCGTCAGCAGCCTTCGCCTGTTCTCACGGGTCCTGTGCAAAATGTGACCAACGGGCCGGCCAGCCGACTCTGGTCCCCAGGTTCTGCTCATGGAGAGGACACAGCCAGGGGATGGCTCTGTAGCAGACGCCTCTGGGGACATTCGTGTCCTGGCTCCAGGGTTTTCTGGAATCTGGCTGTTGTTGGAGCGCTGCTCTGGTGCGGGCCTCGCTCGCCTCGCCGGCGTGCGCACTAGGTGGCAGCACGGCCCTGCGCTCCCCACGGTGCAGTCTTCAGCAGGCTGGGTTCCGGGAAGAGACGCTGTGCGGGCTCCGTGGCCTGAGAACCCGGGTTCAGTCAGAAGGGACGGGGCCTGGTGCCTCCCTGCCAGGAGGCTGCCCTCTGCCCCGAGTTCTGGGCGTCGGTGCTCGCTGTGCTGGTGTCGTGGTGCAGAGCCCTCTCCGCCCTGCTGGAGACGGGTGGGCGTGTGCGCGAGTGACGGCGTTACTCTTCTTCGCCGAGCGGCGGGCAGGTAGTGTCAGCACCTGGGACCTCATGGTGCCTCCGCCCCCAGCTGCTCACACTGCCGTCGGCTCCCAGGGTGAGCCTTCGGGCCGGGAAGCCCCGGTCGAGGTACCGAGACACCATGCTTGCTCACCTGGGCACCAGGACCTGTGTGCTTGAGTGAGGCCCTGGGACGAAGCCGTGGCGCTGGAGCCGCAAGTGTCGGCCGTTGGACTCTGCTCGCCCCTTGGGTTTCGGGCAGGAAGTGTTCCTGGAGTTGATGACATGGTGGGGCCTGGGACTGGACAGAGCGGGGACTGCAGGCTCTGGACGGTTCTCGTCAGTGGATGCACGTCTCTGCTTAACAGTCCCCTGTTCTATTTTCTGACATCACCATTTTAAACTTCAGTAGAGGGGACTTGTCTGAAATCTGCAGTGACACCGAGTGTCTTTCCTACTGTGCACCACGTTTCCTCTTGCAAGTCACTGAAAATCCCTATTATAAAGGGGAAATTGCCCTTCTGTAGGTCCTGCTTTTAATTATGTGGTTTTGTTACAACAGGGCCAGGTTGTTATGGACTCCGAAGTGAGCGCTAGTGCCATGGCACACGTGGGGCTTATTGCCGCGGCACACGTGGGGGCTTATTGCCGCGGCACACGGGGGGGCTTATTGCCATGGCACACGTGGGGGCTTATTGCCGCGGCACACGGGGGGGCTTAT